AAACCCTAAACCCTTTTAAAGGAACCAAGGGCTCCTCCTCCGACCGGCCCGTGGCAAGGAGGCCCTGGTAGAAAAACGCAGCCGGAAAGGCAGCCAAGGCCGGCAGCATGCGGAATCTCAGTGGGGCTTTAAGGGGTTCAGGATGGTTCAGGGTTTTGGGGGCTTTAGGGTTTAGGGTTTTGGGGCTTTGGGGGTTCAGGGTTTTGGGGGCTTTAGGGGGTTCGGGTTCAGGGTTTTGGGGGTTTTAGGGTTTAGGGTTTTGCGGGCTTTAGGGTTTAGGGGGCTTTAGGGTTTAGGGCTTTGCGGGCTTTAGGGTTCAGGGTTTTGGGGGCTTTAGGGTTTAGGGTTTTGGGGGCTTTAGGGTTTAGGGTTTTGGGGGCTTTAGGGTTTAGGGTTTAGGCTTGAATTCACGGAAACTACAGGTGGGGAGTTTAGGGTATATAAGGCTTCTATAAGGCTTCCATAAGGTATATAGACCTTCTATAAGGCTCCTATAACGGTAACTACCCACCTGAAAATTTCCTAGGCTTTAAGGGCTCCTTTAAAAGTTCCTTCAAGGTGTCCTTTGATGGCTTCAGGGTTGAATGCGGATTCTCAGTGCTTTCGGGGTTTAGATCTACAGGGCTTTTGGGGTTAACCGCTCCTAAATCCTATACCCTATTATCCTCAACCCCAAACCCGAGGGCCCCTGCGTTACTCAAACTGCAGAAGAGAGGCTGCATGTCAAGCAGGAGGACTTCTTTTGGGCCAACCTTCAGCAAAGACTGGGGTCCTACTCGTCCGCAGGACCCGCTTCATAGGGGTTTGAGTTAAGGATACCTTTGACGGCTTTACAAAAACAATAAGCATTTGGTTCTCGATGAAGACTCAACGAGTGTTTATATCGGAGCTTTCACGGTATCTAATAAGTGTCTAACAAAACCTACCAGGTAATTCGGCTCTGCATACTACTAACGTCGGCTCGCATTTAGGGGAGCATGGGGATCTAGATGTTCTAGATAGTAGTGCCCTTGAATTAAAAACCCCTATGTCGTACACTTCGCAAACCTCAACCAGCAAGCCAATGCGGCGAATGCCAGGGATGAGGTTGCCCTACCGGAGCAGCCCTTAGCAAGAAAGTCTCGCGACGTCTCAGGTCAGACTGATCTCTGCCACTGGTGGGTTTTTAGGATTGGGGGCTTCATTGCGAACCTCCCACAAAGCCAGAAGTGCCCCCCCCCACACATTGATAACGTGGTACCTCAAATCATTACCAAACCTCAGGGCTCTACCAGTAGAATATTACTATATCTTTAAGACATCCCGATACCCAAACTGTTAAGGCCCCATCCACTACACCCTTTATAAACTTCTTTAAATGGGAGCCCTGCAAAGGAAGCCTATTCTAACTATTAAGGCCCCTATGATACCTTGCAGTTTCCAACTAACTAACGGCCAGCACGGGCCCTACACAAGTCAGCTCTATAAGGGATAAGTAATCTGATCTCAAAAAGTGTAATTAAGGTGCTCTCATTCAGCAACGAAGCTATACTAGGCCCCAGAGAAACCCTGAAAGGACCCCTAAACCCCTCGGCCAACTTCTTCCGCCTCTGCCACCAGACGCTCGAAGAGGGAGGTAGCCAAGCCCAGTCTCTGCGCAGCCATCGAGAGTACCTGGGTGCTTAGGGCAGGCACGTGTTAACCCTGAACCACATAAGAGGTTCTTAGATACGTGGTTTGATCGGTTATTTCAAGTTGATGAGTCGTTGGGGTTGGATCTTGAGGCAACTGAGACGAAAACACGCGGGCAAGAGGGACACTTGATGAGCTTCCCCTAGCCCTTTCCGGGCAGTGGGATGATCGTTGAAAGATTCGCGTCATTGCGGACTGAATGCGTCTATAGTCTGGGTTTGGAAGAAGCGTGGCGTCTCTGGAAGTTACCGCAATCTTAGGCCTCAAAACTGCCGCATTCTAAACCACACATCTATACAATGTAGACAGGATATTCTGAGTTGTTGAAAACGGCTACTCGGGCAACAAAACACCAAGCATACTGTAGTCTCTTTTAGTGACTTAGTGCTGATTGACTTTCAGGCTACCTTAGGCCATTTAGCACAACGATGTAGCAGAGATATAGGGATTCAGGGTGTTTGCAGAATTGGGTTCGATGCATGCAACAATTTGCAGTCGCGATTGCCTGCGTAAAACCCAAACTATCAATCAACCCAACTCCACACCTCGCCGTAAACCCTAAACCCGCACACTGAAGCAAATAAGACCTTCCCAAAGTCGGTAACTATCCCTTAAACCCTAAACCCTAAACCCTAAATCCCTTAAACCCTAAACCCTAAACCCTAAACCGTGTGCAGGGTTGAGTTCTGGGGGGCTTGGGCCTCAAGGGTGTAGAGTGTCTCGATGAGCCTCAGGATGATCACAGGAAGCCCTAAGGCTCCATGTACCCACATAGTAGATACTTACGCCTTAAAGTACCTATATAGGGACCCCTTTAAGGCCTAAGTCGCTACTATAAAGGTACATGGAGCCTTTGGGAAGACTGTCGTCAGACCGTCTTGGGTCCTCTGAGTGTTTCATCCAGAGCATCTCGGGGCTGCAATCCCTACACCCTATAAACCCTATAAGCCCTATAAACCCTACAAGCCCTATAAGCCCTAAATCCTAAACCCTCTAAGCCCTAAGTCATCCTAAACCCTAAACCGAGCTTGGGCTCGGAAGTTTCAGTAGTTTCATTGCAGGCTTTACGGCTCCTGACAAGTAGCCAGGATCCGGGGTTCAGGGCTTACGTTAACCCCCAAATTGTGAACGGAACCATATGGGGTTTAGGGTTTAGGGTTTCATATAATCAAACGAATCTTGACCATGGGCCCCAGAAATGATGGGGTTTTCAAGGTTGTAAGGCAATCATAGCCACAGGCGCCGTTGGTGGCAGCTGTTGCGGGTCACCCACGAGCACGACGTGGTGAACGCTCTTGCCGCACCTTGCAGTCGCCACCCCATCACTAAGGGGTTTAGGGGTTTAGGGTTTAGGGCCCCTCTTGGATTCCTGATTTTGCACCCTCCGATAATGGGTCACAAAAATTCAGTTCTGAGCACGCACACGTTAAGCCCGTCATGGTCCTTGATGTACCGACGCGATTCGCGCTTGGCTTTTTTCGTGCGATGAACATGCGCGCGCCCCCGCCGCCTTAATGCTTCCGCCTCAGGGCACCATCTGAGGACACCCTAAACACTATTTTTTTAAAAAAACTCAACTTTGAAACAGGGACATTTTGATGGACCGGGAAAGCACTTTGCTTGCAAGGACTGCGCACTGGGCATTAAGCTCGATGGTTGCGCTACTATAGGGGCATAATTATTAGAACAGGGTTTTGAGGACCATTATGTATATAGTTATCATAATGAGCCCCCCCCCAAATAGTATTTGGTAATAATTTAAGCCCCTATATAGTACATGCCGAGCAGGGACCTTGGCTTTGCTGAATCTGGAAGCAGGCAAGCGACCCAGAAGCGGTTTTGGAAGATATAGTATATGGTACTTGCATTAATGGGCCCTAAGGAATAGCAATGGTAATTACGCTAAACCAGGTTAAACCCCAAACCCTTCTGTCTATACTTTATGGTAATTTGAGGCAGAGCCTCGAACCCCGACCCAAAGCCCCAAACTCGAAACCCCAACCAAACCCTAAGCCCGAAACCCGAAACCCTAAACCCTAAACCCTAAACCCTAAGCCCGAAACCCGAAACCCGAAACCCTAAACCCTAAACCCTAAAGCCCGAAACCCTGAACCCGCTGGCCTTGCCAGCGGGATGAGTGCCTCCGGCTCCGTCGCCTGTGTGGCCTCTGCTCAGAGCTTTGGGCTAGTGGGTTCAAGGGTTTAGGGTTTAGGGTTTAGGGTTTAGGTTTAGGGGTTAGGGTTTAGGGTTTATAGGGTTTAGGCTTCAGGGTTCAGGGTTTAGGGTTTAGGGTCTAGGCTTCAGCGTTCAGGGTTTAGGGTTTTAGGGCCAGGTTTTTGTTGGGTTTAGGGTTGAGGGTCCCGGGCTTTGGGCTTGCAAGGTTTAGGTGGTTGAGGTTTGGGGTGTTCGAGCACCTGGTTATCATATACGGCCGGGGGTTTTAGGGGTTAGGGCTTCCATCCCAACCATGCGAGGAGAACGCCAGGGGTTGCCAGGACAAGTTAGGACTGGCCTCAAATACCCCTAAGGGTCCATGTACTCATATAGAGTATACTTTGGCCTTCAAGTAGCCCCTATGTAGGTACTTTGCGGCCAATGTATATACTATATGAGTACACGGACCCTTAGGGTACCTGATACATCCTTACTGAAACCCGACACACAAATCCCCAAGATCCACCCGAAACGGCCCTCGCTGTATGAATTAACAAACCCGAACCCCTAAACCCTGAGCAAAGAGGGCTCCCTAGTAGAATGCCTTTTTGGTCCCTAACGCTAACCTGCGCTACGTACTCTAATAGGTTCTGGGTTATATAGCCGATTGAGGTTCGGCGTTTAGGGTTTACTAAACGAAACTTACCACATGACATGCATGCTGAGGCAGCTTGATATACACGGCAACTGCCAGGGAACTGGGGGCTCTTTCTCTTCATGCCAGAGACATAAAGCAGCGGGAATCCCACAATTCATCGTCGGCAATGAACGGTCCAAGTGCTTCGGAGTTCACGATACACAAAGTCCATGGCCTCTATACTGCACGAGTAACGGCACTGTGTGTTTACGGTCGCGCTTGCGGATCCAAGCGTTTTTTGGGCTTTAAGATTCGCGGTGTAGAGCTTCGGGAGGACACGGTTGGGGGCCTGTAGACGCTATAGATGATCAGTGTTGCGTGTTGGAGAGGGTTCAGCGGTTCAGGTGATTGGCGTAGGGAGAGCACGATCTGGACCTCTCGATGTCGTTCCCCGAAGGGTCCATGAACCCAAATAATATACACTTTGGCCTTAAAGTCGTCCCTATACGGGTACTTTGGGGCCCAAGTATATACTATCAGGGTACATGGACCCTCAGGGTTCCCCATGACCCTAAACCCTAAACCTTTAGGGCCTTGGAGGTTTAGGGTTTAGGGGTTTAGGGTTTAGGGTTTAGGGTTTAGGGTTTAGGTTAAACCCTGAACCCATGAGCAAAACCCATTTCATGGTTGCAAATGGAGATCCCAGCCTCGTCGAGGAGCACCCAGCGGAAGAGGCCTTCGTCGAAAAGGTCGTGCCCTGCAGAGCCATCAAAGGCAGAAATGTGCGGAGTTTAGGGTTTAGGAGTTTAGGGTTTAGGGTTTAGGGCTTAGGAGTTTAGAATGGGAGTTAGGATTATATAGGGGGACCCTTGGTGGTATAGACCCTCTCAATAAGGTCCCTTTTTAGAGAGCCCGAGGTAGGGTTCAGAAGGGTACCTAGGATAGACGTTTAGGATGTCGTGGAACCCCAAACCCTCAGAGAGCGAGCGAGCAGTTTAGGAGTTTAGGGTACTTACGGCTGCAGGGTGCAGGAGATTACGAGATTGAGAGTCTAGGGCTTAACCGAACCTCGCAAACCTCGGAGAGACGGAGTGACTGAGAGAGGGTAGAGACGAGGGAGGGGATACAGTGTTGAAATTCACGGGGCTACAGCATCGAAGCCGTGTCTGGTGATTGCAGTATCTGTTGGAGTTTAGGGTACTCTAAACTCACATCGGACATTCAAGGACTTCGCACCCGAATTCCCTCCATGAAGGGGGTCAGGAAAACCACGCGAACATAACCAAGCTAGCCGCGTGCAGAGGTTTTACCATGTCCAGCTGAATCTGCGTTTGTCGATAAAGTGCTACAATCCCCGAATTCGAACTGTGGCTTGAGGGTCCTTGCTACAGCATGACCAAATACTTATATATGACCTTAAACCGTAAACCCATTAAACCCTAAACCCCTTAAGCCCTAAACCCCCTAAGCCCTAGACCCCCTAAGCCCTAAACCCCTTAAGACCTAAACCCCGTAAACCCTAAACCCCGAAAACCCTAAACCCTAAACCCCAAATACTTATTACATGACTCAGGGATAAACCCTAAACCTCTTAAGCCCTAAACCCTGTAAACCCTAAACCCCAAACCCCAAATACTTATTACATGACTCAGGGATAAACCCTAAACCCTGTAAACCCTAAACCCCAAATGCTTATTACATGACTCAGGGATGGACCCTAAACCCTGTAAACCCTAAACCCCAAATGCTTATTACGTGACTCAGGGATGGACAAGCTGAAACCCACAGAAAGCGTTGCCTGCTCCGGCACACGTGGCGACTGCGAGCCGAGACCAGCAGAAGCGGCGCCGATGTTCAGCCCACAGGCCATCTGAGCTTTGGGCTTTAGGGCTTTCCTAAAGTTTAGGGTTTAGGGTTTAGGGCTTTCCTAACGTTTAAAGTTTAGGGTTTAGGGCTTTCCTAAAGTTTAGGGTTTAGGCTTTAGGGCTTTCCTAACGTTTAGGGTTTGGGGTTTAGGGCTTTCCTCAAGTTTAGGGTTTAGGGTTTAGGGCTTTCCTAAAGCTTAGGGCTTAGGCTTTAGGGCTTTCCTGAAGTTTAGGGATTAGGGTTTAGGGCTTTCCTAAACCGCCAAGAGTAAGTAAAATAATGGCCCAAAAAGAAAACCTGTAAACGGCTGTTATTCGACTTACTTTTGGGTTTAGCGGTTTAGGGTTTGAGGGGTTGAGATGGGGTTAGATGGGATTTAGGGTTTGGGGCTTAGGTTTTAGAGTTCAAAGGGTTTTAGGGTTTATAGGGTTTTCGGCTTTAGAGTGTGTAGACCATTGACCTTAAGGTTTGGTTTTAGGTTTTTAGAGCTTAGGGAGTAGGTTTTATGGTAAGCTTTAGGATTCAGGGCTGGTGCTGCATAGGCTTCAGGTTTGAGGGTTTCAGGCTAATTAATTAGGCTAAACCGATTCTCGAACTGCTTGCTGGTGAGGGTGTAGGGTTTAGGTTTAGGGTTTAGAGTTTAGGATGGCACTCTCCTTGCAGGACCTCGATAGCAAGCTGATGTAGGAAGAACACTGCTGCGACCAGCGAGCGCAGCCGCTGGATTTCAACAGTAGCCTTACAACATCCAGCAGCCGGCGGTCTGTTGCTGAGTTTGCAGCCTCTGCCTGCTCTTTCTCGGCACAAACTAGGTTTTTGGGTTTTATAAACAAACAGCTTGTTGGCTTTAGGCTTCAGGGTTTAGGCTTTCTGGGGCTACTTCCGAAAGGTTGGAAACTCAACACCCGCAATCTTTAAGCTAAGAGCAGAGTAGACCGGAAACATGGTACCTGCTGCAGTTTTTGCCATCCTCACATCAGTTTTCGACTTTTTCGGGGGGTTTAGGGGCCGTAAGAACGTAGAGATTAGGGCCTTGTGGGCTAGGCTACAGGGTTTTGAGTTATGGTCTTTTCAAACGGGGTTGCTTCAAACTTCAAGCCCTCTGCACAAGGACCGAAAGTCGTAAACTACTCCGAACATGGAAACATCTCCAAACCAGTTTGCCCAGAGACCCTTGATAAATGGGTAGTTTTCTAAATTAGGGTCCCTTTATTTAGGTGTCCTGTTTATAAGAGTGCCGTACTATATTGGGAGCCTAAAACCGGACCCTGATTTAGAGAACTACCCAAATACATAGCTTAGATCGTTCAAGGGTTCCTGTCATATGGGTAGTTCTCAAAATTAGAGTCCCTTTTGGGGTACCCTAAATAATAAGTGCCGTATTATAATAAGGACCCAAAAAGGGACCATGATTTTGACAACCACCCATATATTAAGCACTTGACTGAGGGGCTCCGGAGTCCCGTGGTAGACTTAGGGTTTAGGGTTTAGGGTCTCGAGTTTAGGGCTTAAGGCTTAGAGCTTTGGGTTTAGGGTTTAGGGTTTTGGGTGTGTTGGATTTAGGGTTTAGGGCTTTGGGATTAGGGTTTAGGGAATCCGCACATCATCAACTCTCACTACTCCCAATCCCTAAATGCTCTCAGCCCCGTAACAAACACCCAAATGCTGATTCTTAAACCCCCAAACTGGGTTCTTGTTGCGGAACTTAATTCAAGCTACCATTGTAACGAAACCATACGATGTCCTATCGATCCTAAATTTAAGTTCTTGGCAAGAACCTAGAAATGATCGCCAGGCCCTTCCCGAAGCAGCAAAAACATGCAACAACCTACCCTGGGCGGCTCAGGTAATTAAGACAGAAGTTCTTCAGGGAACTTGTCTTAGCAAAGGTATGGCAGACTCCACAGGTGAGTACCTGGACCCCCAAAAGTATGTACAATAATAGCCTTTTATGGGTCTTGGGCCCTCATTTACCTACTTTTGGGGGTTGAGGTAGGTGTTTAGGGCTTAGGGTTTATAGGGTCTAGGGCCTCTCCGATCGAGCAAACTAAGAACACGCTGAACCGACCACCTTCAGCGCGCCACTGGAGGAAGAAACGCTCCTGATGGCTGCGATTAAAGCCCTCGAGCCTAGACCCTGAACCTGAAGTTAAACCTCAAAGCCTTAATTATAAACGCTTCTAGACCCGTATAATACATATATATATATATATGTATATATATATATATACCCTGAACCCTACACCCTAAACCTTAAACCCTGAACCTGAACTTGAACCCCAGGCCCTCCCCCCTTCACGAAACCCTAAACCTCCGGTCAACCCTACCTACAGTCTCCATTGCAGCTCCTTTCTTGGGCTTAAGGGCCCTGTATGAACTGGGACGAGGGTTTAGAGTTCAACTTTTTGGGTTGAGGGTTAACCCTAAACCCTAAACCCTAAACCCTAAACCCTAAACCCTAAACCGTCGGTTCAGGGTTTGGGATTGGGGATTCAGGACTTGCGCATCGCACCCGAACATCTGAAAGTCCCAACCCTGGCAGACCGAAATTGATCCCCAACTACAGCGATCAGAAACTGACAGAACAGCAAGGGGTTTAGGGTTTAGGGTTTAGGGTTCAGGGTTTGCCTGTAGCCCGAAAAACCTACCTTTTTTCGGGTTCCGGATAATGATTTCCCTATATAGCTCCTTTACAAATAGGTAGGTTCTTTGCAGAAACCTTGAATTCTTTTTATGGATCCTATATAATGGCTCGGGGTTATAGTAGACCAAAATTCCTGAATCAGGTTTCCAGATTTCGGGTTTAGTGTCAGTAGACCCTGAACTATCAGACCCTGAGGCCCTAAACCCGTCTAAACCCCAAACCCCTAGACCCTTATTAATAAACCCCAAATTCACAAAACCTTTACAAAACCCAAACTCTTAAACCCCTAGGCCCTAAACCCTGAACCTTAAACCCCTAAACCCCTAAACCCCCAAACCCTAAACCCTAAACCCCTAAACCCTTAACTCTAAACCCCTAAACCCCTAAACCATGAATCCTGAAACAGCCACAGAACCGACCTCCTCCGGTAACGCGTCGGCGACCCGCCGCGCTGCGGCGCGTGAGGGCGCCGCGGCCAGGGCCTTGCAGCCTTCGGCAGCTCGGCATTACTCGATCTAGGATTTAGGGTTCCGGGTTTAAGATTTAGGATTTAGGGTTTAGGGTTTAAGGTTTAGGGTTGAGGGTTTAGGGTTTAAGATTTAGGATTTAGGGTTTAAGGTTTAGGGTTGAGGGTTTAGGGTTGAAGGTTTAGGGTTGAGGGTTTAGGGTTTAAGGTCTAGGGTTTAGGATTGAGGGGGATTACACTTTACCATAAACCTTTACCGCACTATACGTAAGCCCTCTAGACTCCGCAAACGAAGAATCCTCATAGATTCCTTTTTGAACTCCTTATAAAACCCTTATCCTGATCCTTCAAGTGCAACCCTAAACCCCCACCTTCGCCACTGCTGTCCCAAAGCCACTGGCGCAGGATCTGCGCGGCCGTGGTAGTCTTCCCGGTACCGGGAGGCCCTCCGAATGAACTGGCTCTGATGTTTTTTTTTTTTTAGGAGGGGGGGGGGGTTTAGGGTTTAGGCTCAAATTAGAAACGCCTTTGGGGTTTAGTTTAGTGTTTGGGGCTAATTTAGGGCAGCTCAGGGTCTTAACTTCAATGCAATGGGGTTGAATTGGGTTTTGGGTTCTATTCTGGTCTGACTGTATAGGGACCGTTCGGGGTACAGCACTGCCAAGTATTCAGTACCTATATGCCGGAGAGTTTGTGCGGGGATTTGGCGGGTGTATTCAGGCACTCGTGGGTACATGTTCGTATGTGGATATCTTCAGGTGCTATAACACATAGTCCTCAACCCTAAACACGAAACTCTAAACTCTGTGGACTGCAGGTCTGCGGTATATTGCTGGGGTCTTCACGAAGTCGGGATTCAAAATATCATCAAATAGGTGCAAAACGGCCCCCAAAGTCCAATGCAGTATACCTATAGCCCTATATGGTAGTTCGTTTTTTCTGGTTCAATTAGTTTTCTGGTTGAATTAGTTTTATAATTAGGATCCTATAAGGCAACCCCCAAAAAGGAACTGCAGATGGAGACTGCAGGTAGCACCTGGGCCCGATCAATCTTAGGGCCTCAGCCCTTTATGTAAGTGTCATGGCGAAAGGCCCTAGGACGTGCAGAAAGCCGAAACGATGCGGGGCTGGGGCTGGCACTTCGGGCTCGCAGTTAGGATTTAGTATTTCGGGTTTAGGGTTACGTATTTAGGATTTAGGGTTAGGATTTAGTATTTAGGGCTTAGGGCTAGGATTTAGTAGTTAGGGCTTAAGGGGTATAGTATTTAGGGTTTCCAGCCTTTGTTTGGTTACCTGCTTCGTTGCTACAGGATCCTGACCTTGACCCTAAACCCCCCTAAAACTCGCACCCCCTAAGGCACTAAACCCTGTAATCATCAGAAAACTGGTTATCAAAACGAAACCCTAAAACCCTAAAACCCTAAAACCCTAAACCCTAAAACCCTAAAGCCCTAAACCCCTACACCCTAAAACCCTCAACACAACGCTGGAACCCATGGGACCCCCGTGGCGGCTCGATCTTCGATCTTTGCGGCTCACGGTTTCGGGCAGGTCTTCGGGCTTCTGGAGCTTAGGGCTTAGGGGTTTAGGGGTTTAGGGTTTAGGGGTTTAGGGGTTTAGGGTTCAGGATATTAGGGGTTTAGGCTTTAGGGCTTAGGGGTTTTAGGGTTTGGAGGTTTAGGATTTAGGATTTTAGGGTTTAGGGGTTTAGGGGATGAGGGTTCAGGGTTTAGGGGCTTATGGGTTAAGGGGTTTAGGGGTTTAGGGCTTAGGGTTCAGGGGTTTAGAGGTTTAGGGTTTAGGGGTTTAGGGTTTAGCGGTTTAGCGGTTTAGGGGCTTAGGGGTTAAGGGCTTGGGGTTTAGGGGTTTAGGGGTTTAGGGCTTGGGGTTTAGGGGTTTAGGGGCTTCAGGGCTTCGAGAATGGGATATCTAAGGTCCTCGGCGAAAGAAACTCATGATCATCACTGGCATAGGTGTAGTTAGAATACAAAGTAAGCGTACTTATGAGTTTTATAACTCATATCATTCTTGTTATACTAGTACCGTGGTAGTGTTATTTCTATTTCACACTATGCCTGTTGCTATAAATCACTTCTGGCTGAGGCTTCGGAAGCTTGGGTCTTGAGATTTGCGGTGTTCTTACGCGACAGCATGCCATGCCCAGGTAGCCCGTACGCTTTAACGTGATTGCGTAAGGCAGGGCTCTAGTAGTTGTAGATCGCAAACTGGGCGCGGAGCTGCTGAACCTCCTGGGCGAGGTCGATGGTATCAAGGACCTCTGGCAACTCCGACAGAAGCACTTCAAGTATCACCTTGAAGCGGTGCATACCTCCGCTGCGTTTGAGGTTATGCAACTCCACCAAGAGGTCGGACACCAATGAGTTGTGGTACTGTGTCGACAATGCAACGACGCCCTGTGTCTTAGCCACAAGCAGTCTCGCAGCTCCGGAGGCATTGAAGAGGCGATGGTAAAGCACGCTCAGCACGTCGTGGGTCGGGCAGGCAGAGTGGCCTGTGAGCGGGTTGTTTCCGCCCAACCCAATCCTCGACAACAGAGCCGTGGCCCTCCTTGTTCAGAAACCCTAAACCCTAAGCCCTAAGCCCTAAAATGTTAAAACCCTGAAGCCCTAAAAACCCTGAAACCCTAAACCCTAAAACCCTAAAAACCTGAGCGCTAAACTAAACCCTAAAACCCTAAACCCTTAAACTAAAGACTAAACCCACCAAACCGAAAATCCTAAACTCCTGAGCCCCTAAAAAGGGAGTCAAGCTCTGCCTTGCACAAGTAGCAGTGGCCGCGACCTGGCGGCCTCCAAGACACGGCACTGTGCCGGGGTGGCGCCTGGATCGGGGTTTAGGGTTTAGAGCTTCGGGCATAGGGGTTTAAGGATTTTGGGGTTTAGGGTTTAGGGGTTTAAAGTTTAGGGGTTAAGGGTTTACGAGTTTAGGGGTTTAGGGTTGTGAGTTGTGCCTAGAGAGCATGTAAGTATATACTTCGAGGCCTTGAAATACCTAAATAGGAACTCCCTTTCCGGCCTAAGCATTTTCTATGTAAGCACATGGAGCCTTTGGTTCTAAAGAGATGGCTCAGGGTTTAGGGTTTAGGGTTCCGCAGATCATGTTTCGGGTGCAAGGATTCATGTGGTTTGGGGGACTGATTCAGGATTCGACGTTGCAGTTGTTAGGATAAGCAGCCTCGGGGATTTAGACGTGAAGCCTGAACCACACAAACCTTGAATGTTTGCAACCCGAGACCCTCGGGGCTAGAACCACACAGCCTCAACACTCTACCTCAACCCCGAAAGCTTGAAGCCTGGTCAACGCGCAAACACAACTCTGCGTGACTCTAAACCGCACACTGCTCAGAGCTACCAAACGCATAGCTCCTCGTCATATACGCAGCATGCCTTAAAGATCGGTGATCTGTAACTTTGGGCACGTCAGAAGGCTGTCTAGCAAAACGGATGACGATTTGGAGGTTCTTGGAGGTTCGTGGGTAGCTATAAGTGGGGTTATAAGTAGGGTAACTATAGTCTCAGCTATAACTCATACTAGGGGACTTACAACCCCACTTATAACTACCCATGAACCTTCAAGTTCAGGTGACTCAACACGAATTGTTCCCGGTAGGGCAAACCGCCTCATCTGAGCCCGAAACCCGGAGGCCCACGAACGCCTTGTGCTCTATATTCTGTAGGGATCAGGGTGCGGGTTGCGAGGAAAGCGTTTAAGACCCAAGAGCTTCATTGAATAAGAAGAACCATTCCTGCAGATATGTATACATAAAACCAACAAATACGAATATATATATATATATATATATATATATATGTATGTATGCATGCATGCATGCATGCATGTATGTATGTATGTATGTATGCAGATGTACAGATACCTATGAATATGCAGTTTTACATATACACACACCCAACTTTTTCTCTTGGCCCCTGATAAAAAACAGAGCAGAGTTAACAATCACCACACGCCAACACAACTCATGAACGCCCTGAACTCCATCTTCGCTGCCGTGTCGAAGGCAACAGATCAGCCTCAATACAGCCTGCAGCCTCAACACAAGCTGGAGCCGTTAAGCCCTAGTTAAACCCTAAACCCCTAAACCCCTAATCCCTAAACCCTAAACCGAGAGAGCCTTTAATCCCTAATTAAACCCTCATCCCCTAAACCCCTAAACCCTCAACCCAAAACCGAGAGAGCCCTTAAGCCCTAATAAAACCCTTAACCCCTTAACCCCTAAACCCTAAACCCTGAACCCTGAAACCCCTAACCCCCTAAACCCTAAACCGAGAGAGCCCAGGATTCTTGACTTAACTTGAGTACGACAGATTCATTCATCTTAAGTCGTTCTCTGCAATCAAAAATTCTCTCTCAAAGCGAACTCACAAAAAAGGGTTTAGGGTTTAGGGTTTAGGGTTTATAAATCTCTGTCAACAAGCAGTGGGGAAAGCCATACCTCCCTTTTTCAAGGCTTAAGTTGCGCTCTCTGGGCACCCACAAGCCTAAGCCCAGCTCCCAAAACCTTTAACCCCGCACCCAAAACACTAGACCCAAACCTTTCAACCTTAAACCCCAAACCCTCAAACCCAAAACCTTCAACACAACAACCGAGACTTGAAAGCCTAACGAGGGTTGAGTGCGTGGCCTGCGGATCCCGGGGTGCGCAAAGGCATCCTGGCCAAAAGGGTCGGCTGTACTTCAGAGTTTTAGGGTTTGGAATTTAGAGCCTAGGGTTTAATTTAGGTCTATAGGGTTTAATTTAGACTTTAGAGCCTAGCTGGTTTAAAGTTAGAGTTTAGAGCCTAGGGTTTAATTTAGGGTTTACGGATCTATCCCAAAGAGTCCACGGACATCTACAGAAGCTATCCTGCCATCCTTTCATCTGAGAAAAAAAGACAACGATTAGGATCTAGGGTTTAGGGTTTAAGGTTAGTGTACAGGAACCCTTTGAAAGACCCCGGAAAGCACGATAGCTGAACTCTCGCAGGCAGGGCGTGTCGGCGGTGGCCGCCGTGGTGTCTGTAACGCCTGCGGCCGATGAACTGCTTGTCTTCGGGGTTTAGGACGGCTGGGGTTAGGGCTTAGGGTTTAAAAGGTTTAGGGTTTAGGGTTTGGAGTTTAGGGTTTAGGGCTTTGGGTTTCGGGTTTGGGGTTTATAGGTTTATAGGGCTTATGGAGTTGATAGGGCTCCTATGTGGTAGAGTTTACCTTCTTAGCACCTCTGTGGAGGGCTGTTCGATTTTACGGCTTGGTGTTCGTGCATAAGTCTTTCTAGCATAAATCCTGCATTGCTTGCACCGTGCTTTCATACTGCGGCTGTCTTGAATCTCACGATGTTAGTGATCATGTTTCTCGATCGCGATGCAAAACATGTTCACCATGTCTGGGGACCTCATCATCTAGGGTATTAGGGTTTAGGGTTTAGGGTTTA